GGATGTCACACTCCATTTGATCAGTATTATGGTTGCCCTCAAAGGTCCGGTTGTATTTGTAAGACTATATAAATGTAGTATATTAATTGCCTCTGCATTTCATTATTACTGGTTTTAGTAATAACTTAATAACTAGCTCAAAATAGAAGTCTAGAAAAAATAATGGCAATTAGTGTAATAGTGCAGACTCTCAGGTGGCTGTGCAGGTTCTGTGGTGGGCTAGACAGACCCTCAGGTGGCTGTCATAGGTTCTAGGGTGGACTGTACGGACTCTCAGGTTGGCTGTGCAGGTTCTATGGTGGACTGTATGGACTCTCAGGTGGCTTTGCAGGTTCTATGGTGGACTGTGCGGACTCTCAGGTGGGCTGTGCAGGGTCTATGGACAGCCTAGTGAGGTCTACAGTGGGCTGTGCGGACTCTCAGGAAGATTGTGCAGATTCTATTGTGGGCTGAGTAGGTTCTATGGTGGGCTATGCAGGCTCAGGTGGCTGTGCGTAGTCTATGCTGGGCTGTGCGGGGTCTTAAGGAAGAAGAAGCTTTGCTGCTGGCGCTGCGATTCACAGGAAGGCTGCCGGGACCTTGCTGGGGGCCTCGGCAGCCTTCCTGTGAAGCCGGCGCCTGTTTACAGCACTGGCTTCGGTTTAAAAATTTAAAGCTGCAGGAGAGGTGTGAGGGCCACACGAAATGGCCTGGCAGGCCAGATTTGGCCCTCGGGCTTCGTGTTTGACACATGTGACTTCGACCTTTAAAAACAGGTGCTGTTCAAAGAGACTCTGTCACCAACCAATATACAGCATGGTTAACATAGATGTCTTCACATGCTGACTCCTTTCATATGGTCAGTTTTTCAGGAGAGACTTGGTCAGAAGTGCAATATTAGGCTATATGTCGGCGGATGTAAATGGACCTGCATCTGTTTACATCCAATTACTTCCAAGACCATCCAGGTCTGAAAAAAAAAAAGGGGCAGAGTTTTTTTTCCATACATACAGTGCACTGATTGTTGTCATGCTGGGCAGGAAGTGTGCAAGGGTTAACTGCTCATTTTTGTCTAGTTGTTAAAAAAAGGTTATACTTTGTTGGGGAAGGGTTAAAACTCCTGGGATGTTTTTATTCTTGTCCATGCATTTCTCTTCTGCTGACAACTGCACCCCCATTTCATAAATGGGACAATAAGTGAGAAGAAATCTCCCCAGTGGGGTTACAGACAAGACTAAATACCTGACAGAATGTAACTCTTCCATACTCTATCCAAAATGTAATTTTAAAAATACCAAAATTTGCTTTGTTAGGCTTTAAAGTGTATATTTACCAAAAAGGTATTTATTTTTTATAGTAGGGACATATTAAAACCCCTATTAGTTTAATTTTGCTGTCAGTGTGTCATTGAGAAGATTTCTCTTTACTTCCTTCCTGGAGACTCAGCAGGAAGTAGGTGAAAATCTCTAAAAAGGAAGGGAGATCCCCTTTGCAAAAGGTATCCTCATAGCTAGATTTACACTTTCCTCCTGTTGCAGTGATAACTCTAACATTTTGAATTTGCCATCACATTCTAATTCGGTGTCATTGGTCACCAGACCAAATAAAGACAATGAATCTACCCAGCAGAGACACACACAGCAATAAACCTGATAGGGGTTCTAATCATTCTCTACTTATAACTATAAACAAGCAAAATTTTGTCTATGTGGGAGGATGGAGATAAAGAGGTTAATGTATAGATGTGCAGGATAAGGGAGGTGAAAGGGTTAATGTGCAGGTCAGTGCAGAGACAGAATGGATCTAACATAAGCAGGTGTGTGTGTGTGGGGGTGGGGTTATAAGGGTTACAAAATTATTTGAAACTACTGCAGCTTCCTTCCACTAGTGAGTAATGAATGGATGACTCATCTATTCATTACTCTCTTTACTCTTCCCTGCCTCTGATGGAAGGGGAAGGCTTGGCAATGTAAAAAGAGCCGGTCCAATCAGCTCTGTGTGTAAAGATTTGGCTCTCCTCTGTCTAAGGACAGCGGGACCAGCGGATGCAGTACAGGTACGTCCTCCTGGAAAATAAGTTTTAATAGAGTGGCTGATCCGCATGTAGTTAAAATCAGAGGGAATATGTTTCATCCATCATAAGACCCAAAACATTAGTGGTAGAGAAATTAGATGTATCCCTTCTGACAGTACGCCGTGTGAGCTTTAAGCAGATGCAAAATGTTATGTCCTGGCTTTATAGAACAACCTAGGGACTGACTAAGCCCTTGTATGGACCTTGCTTAGGGCAGTAATGTGGTATTTGGACTTACTGCAATTGGGATGATGCGATGGTGTCACAAATCCTAACTCCAACCCAGTTACCAAAACTGGCTGGTCCTTATAACCTACAGTTGCTTCAAGAGGCAAGAACTCTCCTCATACCAGATGAAAGAACACCTCCTAGAAGTATTTGGCCAAGGGGAATAAGTCCCACATCTCTCGTCTAAAAAATGAGGTGTAGCATGCTACCCTAAATCATGTGTCTGGTGTGCATGGTATCAACCCTGCCTACTTCACTTCTAAATGATTACAAAGCATACAGCCCTCTCCCCATTCCCTCCTCACCCCCTCCTCATCTATATAACCCCTCTGTGTGTACAGGCAGCAAGTACAAGAGATTGTCAGCTTACAAGATTTCTAGAAAAAACGAACAGGTATTTTCTGCACTTATTAGACAGATATAACAAAATGTTTTAAATGGTATATTTTGGAAACCAAAAAGGAGCGAATTAGAGAAGTTCATTTTCACGTTTTATATATACAGTACTTTAATTTCTAATGCCTTGTTCTAGGTAGATTTAGAGAATTTTTTTTTTCTAAATTACTGTGTAGTGCTACTCATTACTTTATTCACGCAATACACAGTCCTATTCACTCTTACACAGAGAATTCATTCAGCTAGAGAGAATTCCTGAAGCTTCCAGTTCTGGAATTCTTCTGCCAGGAATAGTAAAAGTCACTAGCTGCAATGGAAATTCTATATAGTCTTTCATACATATGCCAAGTCAACAACTTCTAGCAGTTGCTCCAAATATATACAGACGTCCCAGCAGCATAAGTGCTAACCAGGATACATGTTTCTGTACATGATGACATTTTCCAAGAACACAGATGAAGGATTGTTTAAGGAATTCTTGCAAACTTTGAACATTATACAGTAAACACCCCAATTATCTGGCATTCAAGGTACCAGACCTCTCAAGTAACCAGAAAAAAAATTAAGGGCATCACATCTCCTCGATTTATTTTACCAGCTGCTTTATAGACATGTGCACACAAAAAAAATGTATTAGCAACTAAATTGATTTAGTTGCTAATGAAATTCTCTGTTTACATCTTGCTGCGGCCGATGGCTAGATTCCGCAGCTGGTAGATGAATGTAAATGGCGGGCAGTGGGCGTGTGCAATAGCCAGCCTGCTATTGGCTATGGTAATTTGAAATAGCCTCAAGTGTTGCTTGAGAGTTAATGGTAATTCTCAAGCAACCATAAACTACAGTTATCCGGTATCTACCAATCCCCATGCGTGCCGGATAACTGGGAGCTTACTGTACTTAGATGATAGATCCCTAAAGGTGGCCATACACTGTACAACCATCGCAAGACAGTCTTGCGATGGTTGTAAAGTGATTAAAAAAACGTATGATCTGCCTATCTTGGACAGGCAGATCGCACTCTCGATCATCGCAAGCCTGCCCCCCTGAGGGGCGGGCTTCCGATGACAGCAATGCTGAACGGGCAGTGTGCGCGTGTGCACACCGGCCCGTTCGGCATTTGTCTCCCGAGCACTGTTCAAACCAGCCGAAAATCGTACGATTCTCGGCTGGTTTTCTAACATGCTCCTTAGACAAAAGACGTGCGACCGTACATTAGAAACGGTTGCATGTCTTCGCTCACACTGTTCGATTCTCGTAAGATCAAGGGATTTCCCGTGATTCTCGTACGAGAATCGAGCAGTGTATGGGCACCTTTAGACGGGTTGACCAGCTGATGTGACATTAATAAAATTACTTTAGGGGTCTATTCACAAAAGGGTAAAGAGTTTGGAGAAGGCAAAAAGTCAAACCATCTAGGCCAAAATAGCTGATTTGGAAAGATTCTCCAATTCTGCTCACTTTCCAGTTCAGCTATGTTGTCCTAGATTGTTCCCTTCTCCTGCCTTCTCCAAACTCTTCACCCTTTTGTGAATAGACCCCTATAGTCTGTAAAGATGAAGGACAATTATTCTAAGCTTACATCAGAGCACTGCTGGACATGATCGTGATAAAATGTTATCA